AGAGCCCCCCACGCAGAACGGGGCAGTGGGGGGCAGTGGGGATCACCTCTCCACCTGGCAGCAGCTGGTGAATGCAGGGTGCAGACAGTGAGTGCGGGTTCCACCTCTCTGCGGCAGCGAGTGGGGACTGCCCAAATCTCCAAAGCTCTCCGAATCTTTTCCAAATTGATTCAGAGAGCTTTGAATCAATTCAGACCTTTTTACCGGTCTCCTGATTCGATTCAGATTCGGAGATGTGGCCGCCGAATCAGCCGAATCTCATCTGAATCGAATCAGCACCCGAAACTTCACGCAGCCCTAATAGCAAAACACAGTTCAGCTTTTTAACTGATCAGCAAATAAGAGATGTCTCTATTTTGTTTTTTAATCTTTTAAAGATGAATAATTGTCATAATGAGTTGAGAGAAAGATAGTACTTCCCTGAACTTGAAGACCTGGTAGGTAAACAGTCATTCAGCTTTGCTCTAAGAGCTGGTTCTTATTATTAAAATGAAAACCAAAATTGGCATTAATGATATGTCAAAATATGGACTTTGAATAAGATGGTAAAAAGGATAACAATTACTATAAAATACTTATTGAATTACTATAAAGAAAATGCTTACCTGCTTGATGCCATAAAAATCTGCAATACTGTCTACTAACTGTGACATCACCTGAACTTCATGAGATTTCTTATCATTCATAAACTCATCTGTTTTCATCTCTGTGTCAGATTTAAAAAAGCAAAAACAAATGTTAATACAATTAAGGGTGTTTGGACTTTTTGGCACCAGGGTTTCTTATTACTAAGAAATTAAAAGATATGAACTACTACTTTAATCCAAGTAGTAGTATTTTGCTAAATCTTAAAATCTCAAAAAATATCATTACCATTAGTTAGCAATTACAATATAACCTTGTGAACTTGGCATGCTTGGGACTGAGCACCTGCCAAATATCTGAAAATGAAAGATTTTTTAAATCTGAGTGGCGGCTGGTCACGGAGCGAAAGGCGGGGAGGGGAGGAGAAGGGGTAGCAGCAGGCGGTTCTGAACCAGCCGTGTGCGGTGCAATGTGGTTAATGGCGGTGGCAGCCACCACATGAAAGCTTTCCCCTTGGTATTCAGGGGATGTGGTGGGGAGCAGCAGCCAGTCCCAGAGCAGCCACTCCAGGGCCAGATTTCTGAGAATGCCAGATTTCTGAGATCCGGATTCATGAGGTTTTACCGTGTAACAAAATACCTAGCATGATTAAGAACTGAAAGTATAAAAGTTTTCTTTTTCTGCATCCCTTAGGAAAAAATATATTTTTTTCCTAAGGGAAAAAAATTATATCCCATGTAATTTTCTAGAACTGTACTCTAGAAATGGAGACCTATGTGAATTATTAAGGCAGGCTCATAGCACAGACTGCTAATTTTGCTTTAGAGGGAAGATTACATTGCTGATTCTGCATCTTTGCTCATGTTCTCAAATGGATACACTTCAAGCAATCATTATCAGTGACTCTGGGGAAATTTAGGCAGAGAAGCACAATTCTTTCCATGTTTCTCTTCTGCTCCAGGGTCTAAAAATTCTCTACTAGCTGAAAATTACTACCCTCAGCTGTGCTATTCATGTATTAACAGGAGACAGTCAAGTCTCTGTTACTGCTTGCTTGAGTGGGCTAGAGAGAACAGCACGCTTACAGCACACCTTCATATCCTAGTTCCCCAGACTCAAAAACTAAATGGTCTTTGCAGGAGGTAGGCATCATGGGGAAAGGGAAATCTGATGCTCCCTTCTATGGGAAAGGAGAACATCCCTGTGAGTGGAAAGTGAACATGACACTGAAATCAATGGGACAACTTCTGTAGGCTGACTATAGTTAGCAGAGCTGGGCCCTTACTGATGAGCATGCTTACAGAAAACAGAACACTTAAGACACTTTTCTGCATAACTAAGCAGATTAATACATTTTCCTCTTTCCTGCATTTCTATGTTCATCCGTCCAGAAACTGATCATTAAACAGTAACTATGTTCATTGCTTAATCAGATCACACTAGGAATAATGCCAAAAGTGTTACTTATTCAAAAGAGAGTGGGGAATTGAACCGAGCTCATGAGAATCTAGTCTTCCCTATTTCTCTCCAAATACATAGGATCCCTGTACTTTTTAAACATCTGGTTCTTTATCATAAACTGTGATGACAATACTTAGAATCAAATATAGATTCTATCAACTGAACAAAATAACTCACTTTAATAGTAATAAACAAAAGTATATAGGAGAAACAAGTGTTTGTCATTTCACTGCTAGTGTGTAGTGATACTTTTAAAGGTTCTCATTAAAAGTAAAAATAGTTAAGGTCTCCAGATTTTCCTAAAAATGAATAACATTCTAAATTGCAACCTTGTAATGTAAAATTGAGGGGTTTGTCCACCCCATGATTTTTCAGTTTTCCCTCTCTCAAAGTATGGTGCTGGTTTCACCTTACACTTCATGACGAGACCTCACAACCTTTCTGTATCTTCTGTCAAAATAGGGTCTGAATAGGAAGATAGGGAATAAAATTACAGGATCTAAATATTTTGGTCTTTTATCAGATTTTTTTCTTTTTTGTTCCATCTGAAAAACAATTTTTCTCAGACATTTTTTATTGTCCTGTTCAGATAAGATATGTATCTACTAAAAGGTATGTTTTCCTAAGGGCAAATATGGTCTCAAAAGGTACACTATCATTATAAACTATATGCACCAAATGCCAGGCCAAGCACTTAAACATAATGTGATCTTCAAAGCCTGGTCATGTCAGATGTCAAGTAAGAGCAGCCTGAGACACTAATACTTAAGATGGATTAAAGTACTTCTAAATTTTAGAATCTAAAAGCTAAGGGCCAGATCCAGGAGCAAAGTCAATTGACAAAAGTCAAGTTTCTCGTCCAAAGATTGCAGTCTTTTTGTAGCTACATATATAAAGTGGTTATCACCATAGCTACTAATGGTTCATATTTGTCTTTATATTCACCCTTTCCACTTTTCACCAGAACAATCTCTTTGCTTATTCATCAGCATGTACCCCAGAACAAAAAATAAAATACAGGGAAAAATGAGAAAAATATAAGAATAATTTATCTTTTTAATGTTTCTGGAATTTTTTTTTGGATTTGATGTGACAAAGGGATTTTTTCACTTTGCACGCATACTGGGATAACCACCTGATATACTGAAATGTAATGAAAGAAAATATATCTGCAGCCAGAGGAAACTGCAAAGTTTGAGGGAACCTGTATGGAATTTTTGAATTCCTCAACAAGGATTTTGGTCATTCTATTTTTAAATAATTTTTGTGTTCCACAGTGCTAGTTTCCTCATTTTTAATTACTCTTTCAAATTAAGTTACTGTGCTTTTAAAATATTAGACAATAAAAATATTAATGTGAGCTACTTCAAGAAATCAACAGATGCAATCTCCATTCCTTAAGACATTTTAAGACTGATTTATTCTGAGAAGCATTCTACTTAGAACATACTAACATGAGACTGGATGCTATTTTTTTTCAGTGTGCACTGAAATGTACTGCTATACCACAGGACCAGAGATTTTCAACCAGGGTGCTGCAGCAATGCAGCCCGGGCAGAAGGGCTATCGGGAAGGTGTCTGGGGTCTCTCCACAGTCACCAGCTGGGGGGAGAGGGTGGGGCTGAGAGGGGCCACTCAAGCAGCCTCCTGGGAAGCATGTGGGAGTGCCTCCAATGGCCAGTGTGGATAGGCTATTAGCCCTTCCCCTTTCCC